TATATATATATATATATATATATATATATATATATATATATATATATATATATATATATATATATATATATATATAATAAATTTTGAATCCATTAAATTAGATGTGATATGGTAAAATTGTGAATCTGAACTCATAAAATTCAAATCCTGAATGCGTCTCTGGACATATAGGTGTTATGATCGAAATAATTAGGTGTTATAGAAATTTTGGCGGTCTTCTTCTTCAGTCCTCTCGGCGTATGTTAAGCTAACGTACGCCGATCTCGGCTATGGCTGGAAAGAAGGCTCGAGGTAGACCTAAGAAGCAACAAATTAAGGTTGATGACAAAATTCCAAAGCTAAACACCATAGGAAGGAACTCAGCAGTGGTTATGGAGTCTATTTTTGGAGCTTCGAAGATGCAAGCCAGATCTGTCAATCTCCCACAGATGTCCTATGGAGAAGCTTCAGGATCAGCTAGTCAACAACAGAAAAAGGCAAATCAAAGCCCAATCCCCATGCATGTCGACCTAAGGGGTAGTGTCACACCCCCCCTACTCGAGCCGCTACTGTTCCATTGAAGAGCAAGGAGTAGCAGGAAGTTGTATCTCAAGCTCCTTCACCTGTAGCAGTCACTATTCCATTACCGGAGGATCCTAAGGAGTCTATTTGGGCCGGAGTACTAACAGGTAACAGATCTACTGCTAATGGTATGACATTGAGATACATAACTCCTGAAATTGTAGAAGGAAACCTAGTGGCTAAGCTTGAAAAAAACAAAAATTGAGAAGGAAAACTTGAAATGGAAGTGTGCCTTAATAGTGTATGTCATAGCATGGCTTATATGAAAGAAATTATGTGTGCTGGTCCATACAGAGTGAACAATAGACCTTTGATAATGAAACATTGGTCTGCACAGTTGATTTTGGCTCAGAATTCTTGATAGAAATACCTTTATGGGTAAGGTTTCCTAAGCTGCCTATGAACTGTTGGAGTGGCAACTCACTGAGCAGAATTGTAAGCACCATAGGAATTTCAATGTTTGCAGACGAGTACACTGCCAAACAATCTAGAATTTCCTTTACTAGAAGCCTTATTGAAATAAATATTACCAAGCCCTTACCAAGAAGGTTACCAGTTATGGATGACTCAGGTGCTATATTTGAGCAGGCTGTTGAATATGATTGGAAGCCAGAGTTTTGTGAAAGGTGTCTTAAAGTTGGGCATGACTGTGCAAAAATTCCCAAAGAGGGAGTTAACCAAGATCAACAGCCCAAGAAAAGGAGACCACCACCAGTGAAGCAGATATGGAAAACTAAAGAAACAACAGTGGCTTCTACTTCAGAGGAAAGCCAAAAACAGGTGGAAGAATCAAGCAAAGAAGTAGAGTGTACTTCTGAGCAACCTGAGAATATGGAGGACAAACAACAAGCAGAGGAAGGCCCAAAAAGACAATTAGAAAAAGGGAAGATTGCAGTTGGGATCAATGGGGTTCCAATGACCTATGCTAAAGCAATACTATCTCCTATGAAACAAGGGCCACAACAACAAACAAGTTTAGATGTGATGCTAACTTGAAACCACATGTCACAGGTGGTCAATCTCATCACACCTAATGTCTTGGATGGTGTGGAACATAAGGGGTACCAACAAGAGATACAAACACAAAGAGTTGTGTAACTATATAAAAGAGAATAATATAAAGTTAGTTGGCTTAGTAGAAACTAGAGTTAAGAAGGGTAAGGCTGACCATATAGCTCAGCTAGTGGTACTAGGATGGTAAACAAGGTAAAATTATGATCATGCACTTAATGGGAGGATTTGGATGTTATGAGATCCTAACTTTTATAACATAACAGTGCTAGATCAATATGCTCAAATAATGCATTGTAGTATAGTTGGCAGAAAGAATCCAATTAACTGCTTCATGACAATAGTCTATGGATTCAACACCAATGATAAGAGGAAACCATTATGGCAACAGTTACAAGCCCTAGCAGCACAAAGCACTAAACCATGGATCATCCGGGGAGACTTTAACTCAGTTTTGACAATACAAGATAGGCTTTTGTGGTAATCCAGTCACAAGCAATGAATGCAAGACTTTTCAGACTGTATGCATGTGTTAAACTTAAATGAGTTACCTTGGAAGGGGCATTTGTGCACTTGGTCAAACAAGCAACAAGGTGTTGATCGAGTCTATAGCAAAATAATAGAGCTATAGGAAATGACGACTTGATGCAAATATATGGGCATATGGAAGTAGAATACAGACTCCCATTCATATCAGATCATGCTCCGATGGTAATAACAATGAGGAGAGCAGGACCAAGTGGTAAGATTCCATTTGGATTCTTTAATGTATGGGCTGACCATCCAAACTTCATGGCATTGGTAGAAGAAGTATGGAAAGAACATCATAATTCAGATCCTACGAAGAATGTTTGGTACAAGTTGAATACTCTAAGGCCATTACTGAAGCAATTAAATAACGCAGAGTTTAGAGGTATCAAAGAAAGATTGGAGCAAACTAGGAATAGATGCAGGGGATATAAGATCAAATGTTTAGCTGCTACTCAATGAACTAGTTGCTAAAGAGAAACAACTCTTAGAGAATCTGAAAAAATGGTCATTAATAGAAGAAAACATACTTCAACAGAAAGCTCGAGCTAAATGGATAAGATTAGGAGATGCAAACTCCAAGTATTTTTCAGCAATTATGAAGGAAAGAAGACAAAGAAAAGTCATCACAGAACTTGTCAATGCTTTTGGAGATAGGCTAACATACGATCACCAGATCCAAGAAGAGATCATTACCTTTTATAAATCCCTGATGGGATCAGCTGCAACCCAATTACCTGCAGTAAACAAACAGGTGATGAAAAATGGACCAGTGCTCAATCATATGCATCATATCGGTCTCTGTGCTGAAGTTACAGCCCAAGAAATATATGAAGGGATGTGTGCTATTGGAGATTATAAAGCACCAAGAGTAGATGGATATAATGCCTTATTCTTCTTGGCCTCTACTAAAAGCAGAAATTTGTCAAGCAATTAAGGAATTCTTTCAAACAGGGAAGTTATACAGAGCAATCAACTGCACAACTATCACAATACTTCCTAAAGTTCCTAACCCATCAAGCATCAAAGAATACAGACCAATAGTTTGTTGTACAGTACTATATAAACTCATTGCCAATGTATTGGCCAACATAATTCAGAAAGTCATTGCTTCAATAATCTCAGATACACAAGCAAGGTTCATCCCAGGTAGAAAGGTGGCTGATAATGTCTTTCTTGCTCATGAATTGGTCAAGGCTTATTCAAGGAAGAACATTTCACCAAGATGTCTCATCAAGGTGGATATCCAAAAGGCTTATGACACAGTGGATTAGAGGTATTTACAGCAAATGCTAGAAGGTTTGGGCTTCCCAAACAAATTCACTAAGTGGATTATGGAATGTGTGACAACTGTTAACTATAGTATACTCATTAATAGAGAAACAACAAAACCATTTGATGCAGCTAGAGGGCTGAGGCAAGGGGACCCAATGTCCCTTTTTCATTTGTTATAGCAATGGAGCACTTGAGCAGACATTTGAAGACTTTGAAGTAGGAAAAGATATTCCGTTATCATCCCATGTGTTCAAGGCTGGATTTAACTCACTAGAGTTTTGCGTATGATCTCTTACTATTTGTAAGAGGAGATGCTACATCGGTAGCATTACTACATGACATATTCAATATTTTCTCACCAATATCAGGTCTTAAAGCTTACCTAGCCAAAATCTCTATTTACTATGGAGGAGTCAGCCTAGAAGTGAAGCATAAGATACAGTAAATGCTAGGTTATAGTCAATGATCCCTCCCTTTCAGATATCTGGGCATACCACTTGACACAAAGAAACTCTCTGTAATGCAATGGCAGACACTCATTGACAAAATAGTGGCAAGAATATCTTCTTAGACAGCAAAGAATCTCTCATATGCAGGCATAATCCAATTGGTGCATCATGTAATCTTTGGTATTCAAGCTTATTGGGCATAAATCTTCATCATACCATCTAAAGTTGTCAAAGCAATAGAGGCCTACTGCAGAAGCTATATGTGGTCGGGGCAGAATGTAATCACTAAAAAAGCTTTAGCAGCATGGGACAAGATGTGTGCACCTAGAGCAAAAGGGGGACTTAACTTGATCAACTTGGCATTATGGAATAAGGCAGCAATCATAAAAACATGTTGGGAATTGGCGAACAAGAAAGATAAGCTTTGGATCAAATGGATCCATAGCTACTACATCAAGGATCAAATCTTTGCCATCATGAAAGCACCAAAACAGGCATCTTGGATGGTAAGGAAAATATTTGGAGCAAGGGGTAACCTGGATGGCATCAGTAATAGCCAAGCTAACCAAAGGAATGTAATCAAACAGGTTTACCTGCAATTAATAGGAGATCTGCCTAAAGTCCATGGAAAGGTTTAATGTATCAGAATAAAACACGACCAAAAGCAACCTTCACAATGTGGCTACAAATACAGGGAAGACTGCTCACTACTGACAGATTGAAGAACTGGGGAATACAAATGGATGATACATGCTGCTTTTGCAATTAACACCAGAAACAAGGGATCACATCTTTGCAGAATGTGCATATGGTAGAAATATATGGTTCAGACTCATGCAATGGTTACAGGTGCATCAACCAGTTACAATATCATGATCTGAATGGTAGAACTGGTAAAGAAAACAAAGGGGCAATCTCAACTGGCCAGGATACTCAAACTAGTATTTGCAGAATATACACACACAGTTTGGATTGAGTGAAATACAAGGATATTTGAGAAGAAAGCAACAACATGGGATATCCTTTCAAGGAGAGTGGTCTGCATGTGCAACATTAGAGCTGAGGGTTATACTCGTGTCTTTTTAACAAAATATAAATACTGAGTAGTTAGCTTGAGAGAGAAATGTACAAAAGAGATTAGGAAGTAGGGAAGATATAGAGAGAGTTATTTTTTCCAGTAAGAAAGTAGGCCGTGGTGATCTATTGCTTTGTAAATATTTACATTGGTGGTTAATATAAAGATTTAATTACCAAAAAAAATAATTAGGTGTCATGCGGAAGCTAGTAAAGCAAACTTTGAGCGATGATGAATAGCAAACTTTGAGCGATTATAAATCAGACAACAAAATAGAAATATACCAAAAGAGACACAAATATTAACGTGGTTCGTTCAATTGAACTACGTCCACAGGCGGAGATGAGCAATCCATTATATAAAAGAAAGTATGGCAAACACATATGGCAGCTAACACTTATCCCGAAATTCTCCCTCTAAACGAGACTCTCAAACCCCATATGGCTACATTGTGGATTCTACTGAATGAAAAGGAAAGATCCTTAATTTATAGAAGTCCAAACATGTTCCTACAAGAAAAGAGACTAGCCAAATATGGGAGATTTATAATTTTCTTCCAAGAAAAGAAAACTAAATTATGGTAACTATGTTGTCCTTTCATTCAAGAGACAGAAAAACGAAATATGATAAGAAAATCAGGACAAACACCTAATAATTCTCTTCTTGGCCTGAATTTTCTGGCAAAATAAACTTGATACACCTTCTTCATATAACCTTCAATAGGTCGCATCTTCAAATCTTCACCAAAAAATTTGTCTCAACGTAAGTAGCACTTTGGTCAAATTTCTCAAACAAAAATCATGATTAGCATTAAATAGATTGCAGCTAGAACTAAACCCGCCAAGATGAACCTGTCTTGAACCGTGCTCTGATACCACTTGTTATGATCGAAATAATCAGGTGTCATGCAGAAGTTAGTAAAGCAAATCTTGAACAACGATAAATCAGACAACAAAAGAGAAATATACCAAAAGAGATTGTGACGACACAAAATCACGTGACCGGCACCCGACACACTATCCAATCCGGATGAACCAAACAGTACAAGAATGCCCATCTATATGCAAAATAGATACATGCAAAAGCCTTTTTAAAAACACAATCATTTGAAATGATAAAAACCATACATAAAATAAAATCTTTAAATCCATATGTTTTTGATAATTGAAAGATACAAAAGAAAAATAATATTTCTTTCACGCATGCCATGTGAATTACTCTCGATTACAACTCCAAAAGAATAACAATTATCTATGGAATCTCTAAGACACACGGATGAAATACTTGGGACAAACCCCAACTAAAATTTAAGATCAATAATAAGTGTGGATTTTGACCATTTATTAGTACATTTTTACTTTTGTTTTAGTACGAAAGTATTGATTTATATTCTCAAAACTAATGAAAGTGTGAAAATTGCAGGAATGTTGAGAATTTGGGCTCTTATGAAGAAATTCGACTCAAATAGGAGTGTTTCGACTCACAAGGCAAGAAGGGGAAATTCATACTAAAAGTGCGGTCCGCAGAAGTATTTCTGCGGCTGTAGAAGCAAGTGCGGACCGCAGAATTCTCTTTGTGACCGTAGAACTAATGAAGAAGCCCTGAAGTACTTGAAGCAGAAGTGCAAACCGCACACCATTTGTGCGGCCGCAGAACATGGTCCGCACTGACAAAAATTCACAAAGTTCACAGAGTGTGTAAATAACCAAGACTAAAGCCTTGCCTAAAGTGCGGACCGCACATGAATTGTGCGGCCGGAGAAGCTGAATTGTAGCCACAGACCAAATTGTGCGGCTGCAGAATCCAATCTCTTGTAAACTCAAAGAATGTGCAGACTGCACATGGAATTGTACGGCCGTAGAACCTCCGAGGGGCTTTTTTGTCAGTGAATTTGGGCCACTATAAATAGACGGGAATCACATTTTTAGGTCAAGTTTTGAAGTTCTAGCAGCTGTAGCCGTTGCAGTTTTTCATTTTAGGAAATTTGTGATCATTTTTTTGGATAAAAACATCATAGTATTTCTTCTTTGTTTTCTTCATTTTCTACTATGAGTAGCTAGATATTTACTAGGGTTGTGACCCAATCCTAGTGTGTAAACTTTATGGGTATTTAATTTAATGCTTGTTTATGATTGAGTGTTTGTTATTTAGCCTTGTTCATGATTTAATTTTAGAATTAATGGTTGCAAAGATTGATTCATGCCCTTTTGACTTGGTCTTTACTTGAGAAAGAGGGACCTAGTCTGGGAAAATTTGGCTAACAAGAAATTGTGCTAGTTTTAGGATTTGACTAGCCTAATTAAAGGGTTTGAACTAGAGATAGGTAAAATCTCACTTGAGCTCATATCAACTATTTAGCTTGATACCCATTTGGGCTTGAGAAAACCAAATTGGGGAAAATCACTCTATAACCGAGAGGTATTAAGTGGGTAACTTAGAATTGAGAGCTATAATACACCCCGATTAATAAAATAAGTGTTAATGTACTTAACTCATTAGGCGAACACCTAGGTAAAGGTCGCGTCCCTTGGTTTTTTACCCATTTAATAATAATAACAAAAATAATTACTTACTTTCTAGTTTCTTCTCATTAGTTTACAGTTAATTTAGTAGTAGAAAATAAAATCCCTTATTTAGAAACGCAATTGAGTTATTTCATTTACTCTTATCAAGTGTACACTCTAACACCCATATTGAACTCCCTGTGGAAATCGACCCTGACTCTTATTGGGTACCATTGTTCCAACGATCGTTTCCACTCACTAATGATTGCAGAATGGACGTGGATCAATTTTTGGCACTGTTGTCGGGGAGTTAAAACGGTGTTAGCTACATATTTGAGTGTGTTTTTGGATTATCTTCTTTCCTTTCCGTGTTACTAATTTGTTTAAGAAAATTGTAGGTACGCACATGGCGAACAATGAGCTCAAAAATTTGCCTTTGGGGGAATTGGACGGCAAGGAGGAACAAGTAGAGGAGGTACCTCTTGCTCCTCAAGCCAATCGAAGAGGCCGGGTACCACATGACAACGTGCCCGTTCCACCCCCACCTTCACCACGAGTGGATCTACACCAGATATTACCCTATAAAGGTCATGCTAGTGCAATAGTCCCTCCCCGTATTAAGGCGGGAAACTGT